TGACAGCACATAGCAACAACAATATAAATGTTAATTTACTTATCATTATAAATGATACATTTATAATAATAAATTCAAAACTAAACAACAAACTCAACTCATTGCTGTTGTCTTGGAATTAACTCATAGCTTCCCCTCCATTGGTTTTCTGAGGCTATAGAACACATAGGTGAAGATTATCCATCTTCATCCCACAGAAGTTGCTGATGGCCTCAAACTAGCAAAGAAGTGAGGCCTTTAAATTAGAAATGCAACTTCCTATTCCAATATGGAGTAGATGGCAAAGAAAGCTTGAGTTCACATCAGTGGGTTCACAAAGGTTGGTTATTACCTTTTCATAACATTAAATCTGATCATTTAACCTCTCAAGTCTTACTTGCCTTCCCTTACGGGGCTGCTGCAAATACCAAACATGGTAAGAGTTATAAGGCTTAATTAAACAACTAGGCTGGGTAGTACTCTAGTACTGTCTCTCTAAATTGTAAATCTTTCCAATATAACATTTAAAAAAAGATTTCTGTGCTCACTTCGGCACCACATACACTAAAATTGGAACGATACAGAGAAGATTAGCATGGCCCCTGCGCAAGGATGGCACGCAAATTCGTGAAGCGTTCCTTACCGAGGGACTGTTTAAAAAGAGGCAGGGAGAAGAAAAGAAAAAAAAAAAAGATTTCTGAAAGATTTTATAAATTTTGATAAAGCTTTCTAAGTTTATTTATATACACACACACACACACACACACACACACAACTGACAAATTATTTCACTTCTGTCCAATGGGTCTATGTAAATTCTCCTCAGATATGCTTTGCGAACTGGTCATACTTACGCAGATCTGCCTTCAACATCTAGCTTGATTGGACTGACTCCCTTCTTAGCAAGGATTGAGGTCACTTTTTCAACATCTCCCCTTTCTGCTGCTTTCATCAATCGGTCATCGTATTTACTCCAATCTGCTACATGCTGCACAAAGGAAAAAAAATAAAATTTATAATAGGAAATTTGGTACACAGTAAGGTTTGAGTACACAGTAAGACGTATTTGAAAAGAGAGGAGAGAACAATACTGCATAATACACCACTTTGCCCTCCAATGGTTGTATCCTAAATTTCCTTCCCCCAGTTACACTAGGTTACTAGAAGGATAGAGTTAAAAAACCTTTCCAAAACACATGTATTACAAGAGATATTTTTAATTCTACCTTTAAGAAAAATTCTTTTTTTCTCATGTTATCTTCCCACATTGAGAACTACAAACAGGTCATTTATAACATTTAATAGATGTCAGGGCAAAAAAAGGAAATAAATATTTGCTGAATACCTACTCAGTATAAGGCCATGAATTACCTAACAACATTAGATATTTAAAATGTTCATCCTTTTTTAAAAGGAAGGGGAGGAAAATCAAGATTTCACAGGCATTAAATGTCTCAAGTGCTCCAAATCCAACTAAAATTAGTATGTCATTCATATTCCCTACTCTATGTTCTCAAACTTAGCTCAGATTATCTATCTCCTCAGATCCTCACAAGTAGGAGCTAAATACATCTTAAGAGCTGCTCCCTTTTTTTATTTAGAAGATATGGTTGGAACCATAGTTAAGGAGTCAAAATCATTTTACTTCTGTCCCTCTACAGATAGAGAAAACAATTAATTATGCTTACAGAGTAGGATGAAAAGAAACAACATTCTACATGGAAAAACCTAAAATGGAAAGCTTTACAGTATTAACTAAGATAATAAGATTACAGATGACTCATTTTCTTCTTTCACATTCAACATTTATTGCTTTTGGGGACAAAGGGGCGAGGGAGGAATATTTAATTTTAACAAAAGCTCAGTGTTCAAGCATTTAAAAGGAAAATCAAAGGTTGTTTAATTTTAAGTAGAAGAACATATACTCTATCTATCTATCTATCTATCTATCTATCTATCTATCTACCAAGGTACCCTTCAGATTTAATTGAAGGAAATATATACAAGACATTCTCAAGACAGTAACTGATCTTAATACAAAGAAATATCAAGGATATATAACTAAAATACACACTATTTAATAGTAGGAAAAGTTTTAATCATTAAAATATTATATCAATTTACTGCTAAATTCTGGGCTAAACCCAGGCTTACTTCTACAAAAAACCATCTGCATGCTTTTTTCATTTAGCTTACAAAGCAAATCCTATGTTCAAAGATCCAATAAATTCCTTGGGGGAGAATGAATTTCTTATATGAGCATATTCTGTAATTGCTTGATATGCGATATTTTATGTCTACTATTCCTTCCAAACAAAAAGTTATTATTACCATTTTTTTGGTAAATAAGAATATTCATTAAATACTTTGAAGTGAAAAATTAATAGTACACTGAGTATGAAACAAATATATAAACATTTAACTCCCTTGTAAAATTTACAATTTTAACATAAAGTACATACACAGACTTCAGAATTGCTGTCTCTAAATTAGTTAAATTTTAAAGTTAAGAGAAACCCACTTCCTCCTGACTTTAGACATTCAAATTGAAACAATGAGTAGAGTCTAGCTCTCCTTTTAAGTTCAAATGAAATTACATTTTGGATATTACTTTTCTTTTTTACTTTTACTTTGTTTTAGAACAAAATAGTTTTGTGGTTCTAAACTGAGGAAGGGGAGTGGATGTAGGATTAAGAGGCACTGTGTTTTCACATGCCTAAGGGATTAAGTCATGTTTAGCACACAAATACTTGCCCTACATTTATTAGTTTATCCTTGCAATTAAAATAATCTTTGCCTTATCACCAAGTAAACTTGCTGGTAGAGAACGGTGCCATTTCATGCACTGAAAAGTTGTGAAATATAAATTTAGAGCATTTTAAAAGATAATTAAACATGATTAAAGTCACACAGGTTTCATTTCCACTCCACCAAGCACTGGTTTCAGTTTTGGCACACTGTCAGTTAACAGAAATACTGTTCAATCATTAAGATTCCACTGAATATTTTATAAACCCAGAACAAGAAAACGCAAATTTCTATCTTTTATCCCAGGCCAAAATATGTTAATCAGTCCAATCAGAAATAAAATAATAAAACAAAGCTAAAATGTATAAACAAGTAGCACATTTCAAAAGAACACAACTGAAACACGTCTAGCTAAGAATCGTTCGTTAGACTCCAAGGTAGAGATACCTACTCTGTTTGGAGGAGCACAAGAAAACCAACACTTCATCATCGGAAGGGTTAAGTTTCTCGTTGCTAACAGCAAACTACTTCGCATTGAATTACAAATCTGTGCAGTTTACGAAGTGGGCCCTCAGACAAATTCCTAACAAATGATTCCGTCCACTCCTTCTCCCTACAATTTTTCCTGTTCTACCACCCTCATGCTGTACTACACTTAGCTGGGATCTCTATTGATATTGTCTTCATCTTCGGGATCCTTTTCCACCTTCATAACTCTTGAGATGCTCCTCCTCGCTGCCGAGGCATCTGATTAAAAGCAGCCCAAAGTCAGGTATTGTAACTCCTCCTAATTCCTTATTCGTATAGAAGCTGTCTTTCAAGGCTGTCCCTTTCAGGGACTCCACGGGAAAACATGAACTGCTCTCTACATCCTGCTACCTCAGAACTGCTGCACAGACGCTGCTGTACATGATAAAACTGCCCACATCCTACTCGTCCTGTAAACAGTGTGCAGACAGGCTCCCATTGGTCGGGTTCTATTTTAGATTCCATAGGACTTGACAGCTGAGTGATAGCAAAGAGCAGCTAAGAATATATTCCAAATGCATGCTTTTCCTGTGAGTAATAGACTTCAGGTCTACCGGGGACAAATATTGTAAAACACACTTATTTTATCAAAACAACTCATTTGACACAATGACAACGTTGTACTAGGCAAATCTGGTTATGCTACAAAACAATATTTAAAGTTAGCCTTTGTCTTAGTATCATCTTCATAAAGTCTTAATAGCCTTGACAAACAACACAAAATTCTATTTGAAGCAAATGTGTCACACTTTAATTTAAGGAAACACACAGACAGTTACACGTTCAACATTTCTCCATTTTTTCTCGTCCTCCTATCAGTCTTGTTTGTGTGTGCGACCAGGTTTCAGCTTACAACTGCTGCCAGTCTGTCTCCTAAAACGCTAAATGAGAAGAGCCAGAGCCGCTGCCAAGACATGAAATAGACAACATCGTGAGGGGTTCGTCTCAACAAATTTTAAATTTAACACAGTAGCCTTGATTTCTAAGTTTAGCACCCTGCCCAGTATGACAAGTAAATATTTTATCAGTGGAAAGTCAAATTATCAGAATTCAGTGGATTAAAAAAGCAAATGAATGAAAAAAATACTGAAGAAGGGAGAGGGGAAAGTATTTAACACTGAATAAGACAGAAAATAAAACCCTGTTTGGGGACAAAGTAGGCAAGTTCTCCACATTCTCTGTGACAGTTTACACTTAGGGCTGTTGTACATAGGGTCGCTGTGAGTTGCAGGCAACTGGACAGCACATACCACCACCACAAGTAGGATTTCTTAGCTTATCAAGGATGTTAACAAACATCCACATGCTCTGGGGTGGGCTTTCTTGTCATGTTCCAGTTACCTCTACAACTTACACTTCCTCAAAAAAAAAACAGATTTGGGGAGATTTCTTTCCTTCACAGGAATTCAAAACACAAGACTTTATAGGAAGGAGGTAATTGCAATACTACAAATCATGCTGTCAGTTGAAAATTGTATTAAGAACTTCAGAAAGAAATCCATTTCCTACTATTCAAATTTAAAATAGTAGGCTCATATGACATAGAAAGGCATAAAGCACATGCATTGTTTTTGAAACAATGATTCCCCCATACCAAACCACATTAGATGTCATAACAGATTGGACCCAAAGACTCCACCCAGTTTACAGGCAATTTCTAGGCGAAGAGCATCCCAGTTACATACAACCTGTGGTTATGAGCCAATCCCCATAAACATACTATATTAAACATTTGGTGGTCTAATGAATAGAGCACTGTGTTACCACCCCAAAGGCGGGTGGGGTGAGTGGTTCATCCCCACCATGGGAGAAAGATAGCCAGTCTGTTCCTGTGCTACTTCCTGTCTCTGAACACCTGCTGGAGGGTCAGCTATTATTCGGTTCCAACTAAACAACGAGTTGTTTGGATTTTCTGACAATGTAACAAATGAATGCTACTTTGAGATTGCATCAAAACATTATTATTGTATTGTTACGCTGAAGATGTTTAGTGTATCTGGAAATGTTTCTTTGATGTTGTTTATGCAGAGAAACATATACTATATATTAAGATGAGCATTTGATTGATGTTAGAAAAGTACCATTACTTGTTCAAATTACATAAAATTTTAAGTTAAAAACAGATTTAAGAACAAAATGGATTCATAACCCAGGGACTGCCTATATTCCGTTCTTCAGGCAAAAGCTGAGATAGAACTCAGGCTTTATTCTTTGATTAAACAAACACATTCTTTCTAGAAATAAGACAGCAAATAAAATAAAAAGGAAGGAAAAATGTATTAACAAGTTAACCATATAAGGAGCTATCCGTGCAGGAGCTAGCCTGAGAGTAATTTACATTTCCTCCAAAAAGACAGATCTGCACTCCATGGACACCTTGAGCTACTTGCCTCCCTGAACTTCTGCTTCTCCTCTTAGGCTTGTCTCCCAAAAAGTCCCAAACATACTCTACCTCTATTCTTTTTTAACTTAAAATAAAATTTTCATTTTATACTGGTTTACTTATAAAGTTCACATACATTGTTTTTCCATCTTTCCCCGGTCCTTTACCCACCCCTCTTACCTCCACCTATCAAATTCTGTCACCCTACCAGAGGAATGTCAATGTTTCATTGACTATGCAAAAGCATTTAACTGTGTGGGTCTTAACAAACTGTGGCTGACTCTGAGAAGAATGGGAATCCCAGAACACTTGATCGTGCTAATGCGAAACCTATACTTGGACCAAGAGGCAGTCGTCAGAAAAGAGCAAGGAAACACTGCATGGTTCAAAATTGGGAAGGGTGTACACCAGGGATGTGTCCTATGTCCCTACCTTTTCAACCTGTATGCAGAACAGATTATCTGGGAGGGTGGGCTCTATGAGGAGAACTGTGACGTGAGGACTGGTGGAAGATATATCAACAATCTGCGTTATGCAGATGACACAACCCTGCTTCCTGAAACTGAGGAAGACCTGAAGCGCTTGCTGCAGAGGGTCAAGGACTGCAGCCTTCAATATGGATTGAAGCTCAATGTCAAGAAGACAAAGATTCTCACCACTGGGCCAATTGGCAGCATCAGGATGGATGGTGAAGAGATTGAGATTGTACACAGCTTTAGTTTGCTTGGCTCCACGGTAAACACTCTCGGCATCAGCAGCCAGGAAATTAAAAGATATATTGTTTTGGGAAAGTCTGCTGTTAGGGACCTCTCCAAAGTACTGAAGAGCAATAGTGTCACTGTAGAGACTAAGGCAAGCCTGATACAGGCCATGGTCTTTGCAAGCACTTGTTATGCATTAGAGAGTTGGACAATGATTAGGGAGGATAGAAGGAGAATTGATGCCTTTGAGCTGTGGTGCTGGAGAAGAGTACTGGGTGTACCATGGACTGCTAAGAAAAACAGATTCATCCTGGAGAGGATTAAACCAGGCTGCTCCTTGAAGGCAAGGATTCTGAGGCTTTGTTTGACATACCTTGGACATGTTATATAAGGAGGAACCTGTCTTTGGAGAGGGACATCATGCTTGAGAATGTGGAGGGACAGCACAGGAGGGGAAGGCCCTCTATGAGGTGGACAGATTCAGTGACTGGCGTAATCGGGATGGGTGTATCAAAAAACAGTACAATTGGCACAGTACAGAGCAGGGTTTAGGGCTGTTGTACATAGGGTCTCTATGAGTCACAAGAGACATAACAACACATAACAACAACATGATTAACCATCCCACCCCACCCCCACTCATCCTCACACCTTTGTTCCTAACCCTCCCCCCACCTGGATCCTCATACACATTCTACAATATTGATCTTACACCATGTTTGTGGGACTGAGCCAATTCACTTAGCATAATGCTCTACAGTCCCTCACAATTTAGGCAGTAATTTACAAAATCATTGCTCCTGTGTGCTGCATAATATTCCATTGTGTGAATGTACAATAATTTCTGAATTCATTCCACTGTGGTTGGATATTTGGACTATTTCCATGTTCTTGTGATGGTAAATAATGGTGCTATGAATATTGGTGTGCAAGTCTCCATTTGAGCCTCAGTTCTCATTTTCTCAGGGTATATTCCAAGCAGTGGAATAGCTGGATCATATGGAATTTCTATGTTCAGCTTTTTGAGGAAATGCCAAACTGCCTTCCAGAGTGGTTGTACCATTTTACAATCCCACCAAAAATAAATGAGTTCCTATCTTGCCACATCCTATATCCCACCTCTTCTGGGTTTTTAGTGCCTACAATGTTCTTCCCTCACTTTCATTCAGACTCTTTTCAACTGTCATTTCCTCAGAAAGGGCTCTCCAGACCACTAATCAAAACACCCCAATCCTACTCTTCTCCCATCACTCTATCCTCATGCCCTTTTTCTTTTTCTTCACAGTGCTTAGCAATATCTGCAACTGTATCCTATGTTTGCCTGTTTAGCAGTTGACTGTCTCTTCAGTGACCTTTGTTAGAGCTTGGTTACCTAAGGTATCGTCTATGAAACAGTAAAACTGAATTTTAAATAAGGAGTTTGGGGGCACAGTGTCAGACTACTAAGCAAAAGGACAGTGATTCAAATCCACCAGATGCTGCTCTCTGGGAAAACGATGGTCAGTCTCCCTCTGCAAAGAATTACTGGTCAGAAACCCCACAGAGGGTCACCATGGGTCAGCCTTGACAGCAACGGGTTTAATTTGGTAATGACTGAACCGTTATAAAACAGGTTTAATTTGGTAATGACTGAACTTTTATAAATGTTAAGGCCTATCATCCTAATCAGCTCTTTAAATATTCTCTTAGACTAGACTTATGTTAACTGGGGCATATCTGGGACACACGTTTTATTTGTTAACTACTCACGTTCAGACAACAAATAATAAATGGGTATTTGTTAGCTTCCCCACATTCAGAAAACAAATAATCTATTCAGCCCAGATGCAGGAGAGCCCACCAGTGGCAGGAAGGAAGGGGGGCATTTGATTGCAACTGGCCTCACTCCTTACAGTGAATAAAGTATCCTTACAAAAACAGTTTTTGTTTATTTTAATCATAAGCATATATAACAACAACAAAACTGCCACGTAACTATTATTTACCTTACTCATGCTGTATAACCATAATTAAATACCCTTCCTGACTTTTAACTCCTGTATAAAAAGAAAATAAAATCTGTATTTAAATTAAGCAAACCTAAATTCTGGTTCCACCTCTGCAACTTATCTATTGTGTACACGTGGGAGAATTTACCAATACTTGGCAAGCTTCTGTTTCCTCATCTTCAAGGAAAGATAATAAAGAATCTAGCTGAAAGGGAAGAGTCTGTAGCCAGCTGTGCTGCTAACACAAAGCCTATGCATCTCTGGCTGTCTGAATCTATCATTGGCTCCACGTGAGAGGAATAGGCCTACTATTT